TGTCACCGGGGCGTGTGGTTTGTACGCACTGTTGGGAGCCCGAGTGAGTGTGTATTTGTACAAGATGCACTGAGCGTGTACGCGGATTGAGTTGTTGGGGGGACGTATGTGCATACAATGTGGTGAGTGTATTTGTGTAGGATGGAGGGGGTTGTGTGGAGGGTGTGAGTGTGTCATGTGTTTGTGATGTGTTGTGTGTGATGCTGTGCAGTTATGTGCTCCATGCTCCTTCTTTACACACCTCCTTGGCATTGCAGAATTTCAATCACAGCAGCTAGCAATCCCAGAGCCGTGTGTCTCCCTGCCAGCACTCCAGCTCCCCCAGCCATATCGCCCCATCCCCAGCACGGAGGAGACAGATGGGAGGGAGTTTTCAAGTGTGCGGCAATTCAGATAAAGCATGAGGTGAGTGTCTGCAGGAGATATCTTACACACACGCACAACAGCCCTCCCCCGGGGACTGGCCGGCTCTTGTGTGTGCTGTGCCGTCTGCTGTGTGCCTCATGTAGGTGCACATTACTTGCATTGTGCATTTGTGCGTGTTGAGCTGTGTATGTGTGAGCGACTGTGCATTTTCATATGCTCAATTGTGTGCATGTGTAAGAGTGAGACACTGTGCATTTGGGCACATTCCATTGTGTGTGTGAACACATGCATGTGCCCTGATATTGGTGTGGGAATAGTTTTGTCTACCAGCCTGCAAATGTGATTGCCGCTGCAGCAGTGTGTGTGTGTTGCTGCAGCTGCACCAGGACACAGTGGGGTGAGCACAGTGCACAGTTGCCATTGCATGACTGGCCGGCTGCAGCTGTGCTGTTGCAGCTACCAGTTGTGCAGCTGCTTGTACTGTTGCAGGCGATGGTGGATGCAGTCGTGCAATCCGAATTGCATGTGCTGCTACAGCTGTGCCCTGAACGTGCTAGTGCAGCTCCAGGAGCCCGTTGCAGGCAGGGGCGCTGGAACAATCTGTATAGTGGGGGTGCTGAGAGCCATTGAACCAAACTGTAAACTCTGTATATGACGGAAACCACTTCAAGCCAGGGGGTGTGGCAGGACCCCCCTAGTTCCAGCATCTATGGTTGCATGGCTGCGGCTGTTGGCTCTTGACAGTCTCCGGGTGCATGGGCACAGCCCAATCACTTGCATGCACCACTGTAGCAGCAGTTTCCTGTGGGCCTTTGGGTGACTGGGCTGTGTGGTTAGGAGGACCTTGCATGCCCCCCAACCCTCAGCTGTTGCCATGGCCAGGAAATAGCAAATCCCTCCCCCAGCCTGAGATGCCCACAGAGTCATGGTCACACAGAGATGCTGGAGCCCTGCAGGGCTGAGCCCATCAACAGATACTCACCACAGCGCATACACACATTACACCCCACACGCATCCCTGTGCATACACACACACACACACAGTCTCTCTGGACACACCCCATGCATGTCCCTGTGCATAGACACACACACACTGAGCCTACCCAGAGATCCACACATTTTGCCCAGCCAGACGCCTTATCAATAACTTTGCCACAGGATGCCCTCCCCTCTACTTCCCCCCCATGCTGTTTGATTCCAGCCACTCACCAAATCTACACAGACAGGAGGACGCCCTTGGGGTACCCAGAACTTGCGCCCCAGAGGGGAGAGCCAGCAGCAGAGGGGGGCCAGGGCACAGCTCACAGCTCGGGGAATGACACACAACAGGACAAATGGAAAGAGATGGGGAGACAGACCTCCTCCCCAATACACCAAGGAGCCGCCACTTCCGTCATCGCTGGCTCCCTGCTACCTGGGCGTTACGTGGACCAAATGACCACAAGGTGCACCCCATACTGGGACCTGGGGGGCTGACTGCAAGCACCTGAGAAACCACATGGCACTGCCCCTCTCCTGGCCTCATCTGGAAATGGGAGAGAATAAAATATCCACAGACTGAGCAGATTGGGACCGGCTCCCACTGTATGTCTGAGCAGCACCCGGCGCGATGGGGGTCCCGATCTGGGTCGGGGTCTGTGCAGCGCCCTCTCGCATTAGTGGCTGAATTTCAGTACTGGATAAGCAATTTCTGTATACAGAGCTGCTATGACCCACTCAAGAAGCAGCTGCATCTATGGACGGGGCCATGGTTCCCTATATAAACAGCCCCCCGCCCCACCCCAGAGGCAGCTGCATGCAGGGCAGTGTCATCTGTCAACCCTGCCTGCCCACAATATTTTCCTTCCAGAACCTCCTGATTAAAATCAATCAGAGCCTTTTGTATATTAATGGCCTCTCGTTTGTATTGAATGCATCATTAATGTTAACGATCCCCGGGAGCCCCCCTCCCCTCACCCGGGCGGGACGTATTAATTGCTCACGTCCTAATTAAATATTGAGGCTGGGAATTGGCTCTCTCCAAACAGGCCGGGGGAGGCTGATTGCAATGCAGGGACTGGCACGGGGTGCCGCCAAGCAGTATGTCCACCGCTATGCAACCACAATCGCACAGCCACATAATCACAATCACAACCACCTACAGCTACACAACTGCAATCCACAAACACACAATCACTATCATATAGACAGTCTCACATGCACAATCACACAGCATACATAATCACACAACGATGCACACACAAAACCTCACAATCAGCCACGTGCACAATCTCCTACAGAGAGACAATCCCACAGACATGTATCAAGACAGTCCTAGTCACAGACTGTCACACCCACAAACATCCACAATCACACAGTCACACTAGAGATAAAAGCATATACTCAATCACACCCACAGGCAGAGAGACACAAACATGTTCTCATATTGGAGACAATTACATGATGCTCTCACATGCAAGAAAACAGTCTCCCACATGCACAGTCACACATGCTTATACACACACATTATCTTTTTGCGGATACAGACTAACACGGCTGCTACTCTGAAACCTGTCATTATCAAACTTGAGATACAAAGACACTATCACACTCACATAGTGACAGTCACATTCACTGTCACACAGTCATAGTGACACATGTGCATGCAGTGTCTCTCTCTCACACACACACCCCAAACTACCCCCCACAATGAAGGACTCAGCCTCTGGCTCCAGGTCACCATGACCCCTGAATTACACCCTCTCCCAGACACTACACCAGAGACACCCCCCGAAAACCAGTCCAAATAGGTGGAGGACAAAGAGCCTGCCAAACAATGGAGTGGGGCTTAAGGGGAGTGGGGTTGGGAGCCAAGAGTCCTGGGTTCTATTCCCAGCTCTATGAGGGGAGTGGGGTCTAGTGGTGAGAGCAGGGGGCTGGACGTCAGGACTCCTGGGTTTTATCCCTGGTTCTGGGTATCTCTCTCAGTACTGGGCTCATCACACAGCTCCCAATGCTGAGCCCAGAAAGAAGTGACTGTGGGCAGCAAGGCCAAGGAGATAGAACAGAGCCGGATCAGCATGTGCTTTGTACTCCCTGGAGCAAAACAAAGACAGTCCCTGCAACAGAGCAGGGGGAAGCAAGAAGCGGGAAGGAGAGAATACCCAGAGTATGCTCAGCTCTGGCATGTAGCCACCAGGGGGTTGGGGTGAGTCAGCTGGTTGGAGGATCCCTCTATATAAACAGCCCCCACACCACACCCCAGAGCCAGCTGCAGCTCAGTGCCGGGCAACAAATCCCTGTATAAAGAGCCCCCACGGCCCACTCCAGAGCCAGCTGCATCTTAGCACTGGGTGAGGGATCCCTGAATGAACAACTGCCTCTACTCCATTGGGTGCCTGGAGTAGAGGCCCCTGGCCTGGATATGGCAGAGGTGAACAGCACAAGGGCATGGAGCGGGGAAGTGCACAGCAAGTCAGTGGAAGAGCTGGGGATATAACCCAGGAGCTCTGACGCTCAACCCAATCTCCGCCCCCCTCAACCACTAGGCCCCACTCCCCTCCCAGAGCCAGGGATAGAAACCAGGACTCCTGGCTCCCAGTCACCACTAATCTAACTACACCTCTACCCCGATATAACGCTGTCCTCAGAAGCCAAAAAATCTTACCGCGTTATAGGTGAAACCACGTTACATCGAACTTGCTTTGATCCGCCGGAGTGCGCAGCCCCTCCCCCCCGGAGCACTGCTTTACCGCGTTATATCCACATTCGTATTATATCAGGTCGCGTTATATCGGGGTAGAGGTGTACTAAATAATCCTACCTTCTCTTAAACAATCGAGGTATAAATTGTTTTGCTAGGAGACATACAAACAGGGATATCTCACCCACAGCTGAGATGCAGCTGCCTCTGGGGTTGGGCACACCAGGTATTTATCATCTTCACATCAAGGGGAGAATTGTTAGGGAGCATTCTGCTCTTGGAGGCAGGCAGTGCTAGAAGGCGCACTAGTGGGGTGCTGGCAGTGGGGAAGGTAGCTGAACAGGGGTGTTTTCCCCTCACAGTCAGTGCTGACCCCAGCATCGCGCTAGGGGGCGCTGTGGTGCTGGAAGGGTCTTTCTTTCACATGAGATATAAACGAAGGACCTGACTGTTCTGGGTCATTAAATATCCTCTAGCACTTTTCCCATGAGTCCTGCTGCAAACCCCTAGCTTCCTGGCTAAATCCCAGCCCAGAGAAATCTGCCTCCCTAAAATTCCCTCCTGTGCTTTCTATCAGATACAAAAAGTTTCCCCCATTCAGTTCCTGTGCTAAACTAGCCTGTAATACTGCTTTTAACTAGCCCACGCACCCTACCCCAAAGGCAACTGCATCTCAGCACCAGGCGAGGGATCCCTGTATAAACAGCCCTCATGCCCCACCCCAGAGGCAGCTGCATCTCAGCGCCGGCAGAGGGATCCCTGTATAAACTGCCCCTGCGCCCCACCCCAGAGGAGGCTGCATTAGGAGAGGGGTCTCGGTATAAACAGGGCCCAGACACCACCCCAGAGACGGCTGCATCTCAGCCTCAGGAGAGTGGAACATTTGACTGCAGAGAAGCATGAGGGGGACCCATGGGGAGCTGTCTCTCTGGGGGCGGTGGGTTGCACTGACCTTTCGATGTGTGCTGCACCTCACTGGCTCCTCTCCCTTCCCCCCCTTCCGAGTACAGAATGGACCCTACTGGAAAAGCAGAACCACAGGATTAGGGAGTAGGCACTAACAACCCTCCCTCCAGCTGCCGATACCCCCATTACCGCACTTCAGCTGCTGAGACACCCTCCCCAGCCCCCACAGAATACCCGCACACAGCCACAGGGCCAGGAAAATGTCACTAGGTTTGTTATTGTAGATCTCTCCTATGCACTGGACACTGATTTATTATTGTAGAGTCTGGTAAACCAGCGCAGGTACCTACCCCCACTCCCAAGAGCCTCCAGATTTCAGCCCCACTTTGACCCCACAGAACAGCACCCACAGCAAGCCTAGCCCTTACCCAGCTCTCCCGGCCCCAGCTTTCACTTTTAGCTAACCCGCCTGCCGCCTCCCTCCAGCTCATCAGCCAAGCCCCACTCCCTAAAAGGGCCAGTCCACCCTCTGATGGGCCTTTCCTGAGTGCGGGGGGAGGGAAAGGTTACTGAAGGGTTACAAGCTGGAACTGGGGCTAGGGACTGCAGGGCAAGGCCCTCTCAGGTTGCCCCTCTGCACTTGACAAACAAATCAGGGGAGGGGAAGATTAGACTGCACCTCTGTCCCACCCCCGCCTCTCCCTGCGACCCTGGGGGCAGGATACAGCAAGTCTCAAGGCCCAGGAACCAGGGGGCACTGGCCCTTCACTCCCACTCCCCACCCAAGCTTTGGGGCACCCAGCGACACCCAGTGACACTTTCAGATCACTTTGGGATACTGTATAATCCCCAAACCATCACCCCATCAGCCCTGCTCAGAGACAGCAAAGAGGGAGTGTTGATCCTTCAGGGGAGGTTGGGACACACGCTCCTGCACCTCCATGCCTGGTGGGAGATCCCTGTATAAACAGCCTCCACATCCCGCCCCAGAGGTGGCTGCATCTCAACACCAGATGTGCATAAACAGCCCCCAGAGGCAGCTGTATCTCAGCACAAGACGAGGGCTAGGAGTTGGACAGGCATCTCCGCTGCTTCCTATTCCCCTCATGGCTCATGTTGGCCTATTCCCCAGGTGTGTCTGCCCCTTCAGGCCAGGATGTGGGGCATCTGGCACTGGGAGCAGCAGCAGCCTGAGGCAAAAGTGCTGAGCTAGCACAAGGCAGAGTGGGGGGATCAATGAGCTAGAGCACGAGCGAGGAGTTCAGTATGGTAGAGAGCGAGCCTGAGTGGGGGGGGGAGGGGGGGAGGTCAGTGTGAGAGAGAGCGACAGCCAGCAGGGAGTCAGTGTGAGATAAAACAAGCAAGGGAAGATCAGTGTGACTGTGCAAGCGGAGGGGTCACGGAGATGAGGGAGACAGAGGGTGCAACCTAGGGGGGCTCAGGGAGATGAAGGGGACAGAGGGCACAAGTTGGGCATGGGAGTTTCTGGGAGATGAGGAAGACGGAGGACGCGAGTGGGAGGGTGAAGGGAGATGAGGGAGACAGAGGAGGCGAGGGGGGGGGATGAAGGGAGATGAAGGAGACAGAGGGTGCGAGTGGGGGGGAGTTTCCGGGAGATGAGGGAGACAGAGGATGCGAGTAGGGAGGAGGGGTTCAGGAAGATGAGGGAGACAGAGGGTGCAAGCGGGGGGGAATTTCTAGGAGATGAGGGAGACAGAGGGCTCGAAGGGGGGGTCAGGGAGATGAAGAAGACAGAGGGCACGAGCGGGGGGTTCAGGGAGATGAGGGAGACAGAGGGCGCGAGCGAGGGGTGTTCAGGGAGATGAAGGAGACAGAGGGCGCGAGCAGGGGGTTCAGGGAGATGAAGGAGACAGCGGGCGTGAGGGGGGGCTCAGGGAGGTGAGACAGAGGGTGTGAGCAAGGGGCACAGGGAGATGAAGGAGACAGAGGGCACGAGCGGGGGGTTCAGGGAGATGAGGGAGACAGGGCGCAAGCGAGGGGTGTTTAGGGAGATGAAGGACACAGAGGGTGAGGGGGGGCTCAGGGAGATGAAGGAGACAGAGGGCGTGAGCAGGGGGGTTCAGGGAGATGAAGGAGACAACGGGCGTGAGGGGGGGCTCAGGGAGGTGAGACAGAGAGCGCGAGCAAGGGGTACAAGGAGATGAAGGTGACAGAGGGTGTGTGAGGGGGGTCAGGGAGACGAGGGAGATAGAGGGCTCGAGCAGGAACGAATGAGGTGGAGGAAAGGAAGAATCAGAAAAAAAGAAAGATAGAAAGAATGTGAAAGAATGAGAGAATGAACGAATCAATCAAGGACTGGAAAGAAAGGCAGAATGAATGAAGAAATAAGGAAGAAAGAACTAAGCCAAAAACCGAATGGATACAGTGGAAAGGAGGAAGAAAGGAGTAAACGAATGAGTGCATCGAAGAACAAAGGAATGTGAGAGTGAATCTAAGAAAACGAAGGAATGAAAGAATGAATGAATCAGAAAGAAGAGGGAGGCCAAAGTCAGAGATGCCTGTGGATGTGTGGGCAGGCGGGTGCCCTGGGGCAGGAAGGAGCAAATGGCAGAGGCGCGTGCAGCAAGGAGAGAGCAGTAGGGGGAGGAAATCGGGGGGGGGGTGGAGCTGACCTGAGTAGCTCCGAGCGGTCGGACTGTCCCCACAGTCCTGAAGAATGGGGATGCGCTGCCTGCCCTTGAATGTGACCTGGGGGGCTCCTCACCCTCCTGGGATCCCCGGCAGCTCCCTCATGGGGAGCAAGGAGACTCCCCTCACCCCCACTCATCTGCTGAAACCTGCCCAACTCACTCCATTGGCAGCAGGGCCCAAAGGGGGAGGTAGAGAGAGGAAGGGACTGGCCCAGAGCAACCAAGTGCAACAACTGAAGAACCCAGGAATCCTGCCTCCCAGCCCCTGGCTCTCTGCGCCAGCCCACTGGACCCTAGTCCCCTCTCAGATCTGGGGATGGAACCCAGGAGTCCTGACACCCAGCCCCCTGCTCTAACCTCCTAGTCAATATGACAGATTGCCCGGTGTAATTCAGAAGTAACCGCATTGGGTTATCCCAATTCAGAACCAGTGTGAAAGGGGATCCGGCCTTAGGACTGACTGGGAGAGGCTGGGGTCTGTGCCAGGGCCCATCCCATCCACAGAGTGGGGAAGCAGGTGTGGGGGGCAGGGAGAAGGGGAGTTAGAGACCCAGGAAGAGGGAAGAGGAGAGACAGATACAAAAAGAAACAGGTGTGGTGCTCTCATTGCCCCTCCCTCCCCCCCATCCGAGGGCAGTGAGGGAGAGAAGATGGGGGAAGTGGGGCAGGGAGATGTCTCCTCGCTTGGGTGAGTTGCAGCCCTGTGGGATACAGCCCCCCAGCACAGAACACACATCGGGAAATGCTGGGGGAACTCTCCTTCTCCAAAACTATTCACACCATGGACCCAGCCTCCCCACAGACTCCTACATACCTCAAACGTTCAGGATACAGGCTAACTACCCCCCAAACTCTCCCATCCCTCAGCCAGACACCCATCCTCCGCCTGGGATTGCTCAATCCCCCAGCCAGAGACTCCCCCTACACCATCCCTCTGAGATTACATCATCCCCCCACCCCCAGCCAGAAACCCCCCTACAGCATTCACCTGGGATTACACCATCCCCCCCACCCAGACTCCCCCTACACCATCCCTCTGAGATTACACCACCCTCCCTACCCCCAGCCAGAAACCCCCCTACAATATCTGTCTGGGATTATACTATTCCCCCCCTCCCCCGAAACTCCCCTACAGCATCCTCCTGGGATTACACCATCCCCCTCCACCCAGAAAACCCCCTACAACATCTGCCTGGAATTACACCATCCCCCCCACCCATAGATCCCCCTACAGCATCCCCCTAGGATTACACCATCCTCCTCCGCTCCGCCAGAATCTCCCCTACAATATCTGCCTGGGATTACACCATCCCGCCCCAAGACCCCCCTACAGCATCCTCCTGGGATTACACCATACTCCTCCCCCCCACGGCAAGAAACCCTTCCTACAACATCCGCCTGGTATTACACCATCCCCCCGCCCCCCACCCAGAGATCCCTCTACAGCATCCCCCTAGGATTACACCATCCTCCCCCGCCCCGCCAGAATCTCCCCTACAATATCTGCCTGGGATTACACCATCCCTTCACCAGAGACCTCCCTACAGCATCCCGCTGGGGTTATTTCATCTCCCTGGCCAGACACAGCCCCACATACCATTCCTAAGCAGGGCCGGCTTTAGGAAGTGCGGGGCCCAATTCGAACAGTTTCGACAGGGCCCCAACAGAGATGACT